AAAAAAAAAGTTGTACAGTACCTGGAAGGCTGGAGAGAAAAGTGCTGGCTGACTGAGAGGCAAGGATACGATTCCTCTCAGTTTTATCCCCACGCTTCTTGACCAGATCTGCCTCTGCTCATGGAGGGGTTTGTATCTTCGTGCTGGGACTTGGTTTCAAGAGTAGGGGGGACCACACAGCTCCTGGAAGACAACCTCTCTCCTCTAATCCTCTCCCCAATGTGATGACACTCTCTAACCTCGACCATCTGTTGAAACACGTCCCAAAGCAGTCAGCACCACGCTGTGTCAAGAACCCCACTCCCCTGCCCAATCACAGACCGGCTGCTGGGTGGCTCCTCGCTGCCAGGAGGCAGGGACAAGGACACAGCACAGCGCAGAGGGAGACACACACACACACGCACAGTCGGTCACACCACTGCCTCCACCCCACACTCACACAGACACTCTACGAGATGAGAGCAAGAAAACCCCCCAGTCATCGTAACCTGAGAGGCAGAGTAGGACGGGGAGAGTGAGTGGAGGAGGAAGGGGAGGGGAGCAAGCAAGAGAGAGCAAGGGAGGGGAGAGAGGGTGAGAGAGAGAGGGGCACATGCTTAAGAGCTAAAGTAGGGAAGATAGAGAGATACAATTTGTATCTTTCATATTATGTTGCTGGCAATGTCGCTTAAATAACAATCCATCTGCCCAATTCCTCTCCCTGTATCTATAGCGCATGCGGTCTAAAGAAATAATACTTTTCAAAAAAATGCAATAAAATTCTATATTGGCTCCGAGGTGGGAATGCTGTTGGCACTAAACTGTTACATCTGCAAGCGTAGAAGCGCAGGCAGCAGCCCTCACACCTTAGTGTGTTAACTCCTTACGTCCCCCGTCTGCATTCCAACCCTTCACCACCTATTGCCTTAAGTTAGAAAAGAGGGCAGAGGGGAATACACTAAAATGACAAAGCTAAGGGAAAGAGTAAGATAAGGAGAAAAGAGATAAGCGACGTCTAGATATTTTTGACTAGATGACGGCCAGCTGTTTAAGCAAACACCTTTGACGATCAGTCTTTCGATGGCAACACAATTACTACTCAGTTTCCTAAACAAATCAATCCAATTCTCAGTTCACGCAAAACACGAGGAGCGTTAGGTGAGAAAGGCTGTCACGTTCATCAGGTGGTTGAACTACTGTCCTACTCACTGATCCATTAAAAAGGGATTATGAGACCCTAATGATATTCAGGGATAAATTCAAAGGCAAGCACTAATGAGGTGATGCCCATTTGATATGCAACAGCATCACCATGTGTTAATCAGAGTGGGGAAACGGCAAAGAAAGGCTTGTGAGTGATTCATTTACATTACATAAGCACGAGCAGCATACACACAATGCCCTCTGTTTGAAGTTGTCAGACAGGTATTAATCAAAAGTTTGAGTGCCACTTTCCAACTTCCCTTGATAATGAGTCATTTGGTGGGAGAGGGTGTGTGTGTGGGGGGGGTTATTACCTAAAAGAAAGTTTCACCTTATTGCGTAACAGTCCCAAATCTGTATCAGCTTTATATTTTAATGTTATTTTACTGCACAAACCCACACAGAGTGACTTTTTTCAGTGGATGCTACTTGTTACCTCCCCTGCAGGTTTGCATTAAGCTAAACAAGCCCTAGACATGTAATGCTCTTCCCAGCGCCGACTGATGTTTGAAACACGGGCAGTGGTGAGAGAGAGCAAGAGCCTGAGGGGGAACGAGCTCAAATTAGATTAACTAAATTTACAAAGACTGTCCCCAGCCCCTGCTGCACGGTTACACACATCCCAACCCACACCTACAACCCCAAGCCCCCATTCTCACGGCCGAGAGGTTTCAAAAGGGCCTTCAGGCAGGACAGGGGCGACCAAATCCCTGTGCTCTTTACTGGATTAAAGATGGCTGCCCCACTAGGGGAGAGGGGCTGTTTTTATACAAGCTGAGCACATCTGTAAACATCTTAAAAGGTGTGTTTCTGTGAAGAAAACATCCAGAGTCTTATCCGCGGCTATTCAAACTTTCAAAAAGGTAGAAAATGGTCAATGGTTTATGCAAACAAGCCAACCATTTTGCATGACCGCCATTAATCTCCATTTTCCATTTTCACTTCCGCTGATGGACACAAGGGCAACAAAAGCGAGGGCAGGGGGAGGTCTATAAAACGGCCTCATCTTATGAATGACTGAATGACCTGCAGGGGGGCAACATGGTCCTCTGGTAACCCCTATTCACTCTCCTTCTCCCTATCCTGACTGCGCAAATAATTCACCAAGCACATGAGCGGGGACATCAGGCACATAAATTACCTTTAAGATGAGTTGTTTTCTCTTATTTTATACGTATCTTATTAGGTACCTCTTGTCTCTTGTGCAAGCTTTGCTCTCAAACTGAATCCAAGCCTCTTCTGACCTCAGGCTCACTTCCCCCCTTTTCCTCAGAGCTTTCCAGCCATCAGTTGGGTTTGCAGGTGCAGGCACAGCCCAGTGTGTGGGGGCTCCTCGGTTCACTAGCTCCATTTTCTATGGTTGAATGAGATATATAGGGGTGTCATAGCTGTGATTCTGCCTCTGTGCCAGTATAAAGTGCTACAGCTCAAGCGGAGAGGAGGGGGGATTGGGCAGGCATGAGGTCATTTTGTCTTGTTTTATAAAGTATTTTCAAACCATTCTAACCTCCAACTGTACTACAGTAGTGTCATGCAAGATGACATGCACAGCTGGTCAATAAAGTGCAGAAGAATTAAAGAGAGCGGAGGGCAGAGGGGATATAAATACGTGATAGACAAAAGGCAAGAAGGTCTAAGGGAAAAAATAGAAAGTTAAAGTCATTGTGCAGTGAACGTTAAATACATACCCCACACATATGGAAGAATCTCACCTGATACCCACACTAGCAGTGCCATGGAAAAGGTCAAGAACTCAAGAACCGACATTAGAGAGACATGGCAAAGCAATCTGAACTAAAACTGATGATGTCAGAAGGGAAATAACTTCTTATACATCATTTGGGGCGAACCTTTTAAACAATTTTTTATCAGATTTGACCGGTAATTTTAAACAAACAGGTTTTATATTCCAGAGGCCATTAAAATTCAAGTTAATTTAGATAATGCTTTAACATGATTGCTCACACAACGCTGGATTTAGACCTTTGCTGCAAACCGACTTAGTAACTTATGAGGTAACTGGAAACCTCTTTTACCCTAAGCGGTAAGCTTCCACGTAGCGTCACGTGCACCTCCTGAAAAGTGCAACTACATGTCAACACAGCCCGCAAATATTGTGATATTATTTCTTCTGCAGTTTAGAATTTATCACTTAGAGAATAACAATTACTGTCTCAGTATAAAGATGAATAATAATAGTGTAAATATAAGGACTCACAAATGTCAGCAGATTCCTGGGGGGAGATTGCCAAAGCTACCAAAATGGTCGTGAGGGAATGTACGAATAAGTAAAAAAAAACCTGAGGGACAAATGTGTTTGCCTCTGGAAAGGAAAAAACTGACCACAAAAAAAGAGCCGGGACCCAGGAGGCAAAAAAGCCCCCAAATATGAAACATCGGAACAAGGCCACACAGTATTTAACACGTAAACACATACAAGCACAAATGTAAGCAATGACATCGGCCCCTTACATTAGTCTCTACAAAACTCCCCGGGGAATTCTATACCAGGGGTAAGTGGCCAGCGGTGTTTATTAAGAAGGCTACCGTGCGGCAAGGCTTGCATTTGAAAGTATTTGTTGCTACTGAATTGGTCAGAGGAGCAGATAAACTAACATCCAGTACTCCAGTGTTCATTTGTGCAATCTTGTTGGGAGTTGGGATGCGGTGTAAAATGAAAAAAGACAAGGACTTGCTTATTTTAGCAAGAAAATACCAAACTACATTATTCACGTAAATAAAACAGCATGGCTAATTATTAAGCTAAATTGACATGGCTGCACTCCAACAACAACATTTGCAGTATTTTCTGTTTCATTATGAGTCAAATAAATGCTGTGATTTTTTTTTTAAATAGCACAATTCCTGCAAGAATAAGACGACACCTCCTGTTCAAAACTAAAACGATTTGTCTCATTTTTCTTCTGCTCAAATAAAGAAAGTGATTGAAAACGAGCATCTGAGATGTTCTCACTTAATGCATAAAGTTTAAAATCAGCAAATACTATTTTTGTTTAGATTTTCTACAGCTTCCTAACAATTTCTTATAAGAAAAAAAGAGTTGCGATGTCACATGTAATAAAAATTCTACAGAGGCTCTGATAATTCTTGTTGGCTATAAAGCCATGGAAGTTAGCACAGGTCAATTTTTAGCATGCCACATAAATGTAAACTATTTTTACTTTGTGAAAAATCAGTCATACAGTATAGTGAAATTTGTTTGGATGCAAACGTTCTATTTCACTGCATGTAGCAGATAAAAAAAAGGCTGTTCCTGCAAACATCAAAGGTGACACCTATTCTTCCAAACCCATTGTAAATTAAGCTAACAAGCAGCGCTGCAGACAACAAGAATCCACACACTGACGCATAATGAACTCATTTACAGAAACCCGACTGAGTGTGATGGTGATGGGATTAAGAGGTCTTTTCATAATAGCACCCATTAACAGGTTTCAATCAAATGCCACATATGCCATCTCCTCTCTGGCAGATGTTTACATGACATAACATGTAACATGTCACAATCAAACACACTATTATGTTTGGATAATCTAATCTTCAGGTTAGAACGTGACAGATTAGTTCAGAGTAGCTCATTCATTTTCATTCACTGAGACAAGTTGTTTCCAAAAACAACTCAAACTGTTCTTATCATTCTTCTTATACTGTGAGGTCAGGCAATGATCAATTTCCATACAAAGATTTCCATACAAATTTCCATCCATTTTCTTAGTATTAGTACTAATAAAAATGTAAAAATACCTACTAACTACTGCATACAAGTTCTGAATTAACACCTCCCAAAGTATTTCTTTGTAATAAGGGAAATGACTTGGCTCTTACAAGCTACCCTCAATTAATCCTTAAATCATTCTTATTCTTCTATTTAGTATGTAAAGTATTTTATGTACAGAGTTAAGAAAAACAATAAAATTCACTGACGGTGCAGAGGGAACAGCAGAAATTTCACAGACCACCCACAAAGCTTTTTTTTCTGTAAGTAGGATTAGGACCTTTCAAGGGCTTCTGAAAAGCAAGAAAACAGATAGCAAGACAAATCAATACTATCACAGTTCTGATCTGGTAAACCACAGGATGACGGAAATGTATTTGGGACGGC